CTTTGTTGTTGATTCCTAGGGAGTTCGACTCTAGGTCGTTCGATCCTTCTCTGGTTGTCTTGATTTTCCTGGGGTATATTTCCCAGATTTTATTGAATTTGGTTAATGGTGGTATCATCGTCAAAAACTACCCATTGGTTCTTTATTATATACTCCCTTGGTGGTTGTCTAGGGGGATTTGGTACACTAAATAATTCTACAATGCGTGCCATTTGCGTTGCTAATTGTTGATTAGTTTGGGTAGTATTCTGAATAAGAGGCTGAATGATTTCCCCCATAGTTTGGAACATCATTTGGACCATTTGAAGGTTACTCTCGTCTATCTGTTGTCTTAACTATGATGCAGAACTGGTTGTCAAATTTGGCATTTGGGTAAAATAACCTAATCCTAAAGTTTGACTATCTCGACCCATATTTACCTCAGAGCCTGATCCCTGTAATGACGAAGTTATTATGGGTTCTGTATATAATGGATGGGTGTTTTGTAAGTTTGCCATCATCGAAGTTGACATTCCATAGGGTGGGTCTCGAGGCAGGGGTATTGCAAATCCAGGAGGAGGGACACTTCTGAATGCTGAAGCCCTTATTGGCGGTGGAATCTGTGGAGGACCCATTGGCCCAATATAAGTCAGAATGGGTTGTGTATGGGCAATCAAATGGGTAGGTATTGAACTTCCCATAGATGGTATTGCTTTAGAGACAGGCGCTAAAACCGTAGGTCCTCCTGTCGAAGATCCTATTGGTGATTCTACATTGTTACTAGGCATATCCTGAGGAATATTTGGCTAGTAAGAGTTTGTCGCCATTTTCCTCCTATATCTTCTCCTTGTTCTATCTTCATTAGCAGTGGCTACTTTACCACTTCTTAATAACATGCAACGAAGTTTTCAAAGAGAAAGTTGACCATAGAACTAATGAATTGTCAAGAATTTTGAAGAAAATTTTATGATCACTTAGCACTGTCCCACTAGGCGTGCTAATTTGTTCGTCGTGAAAATTGGTGAACAACCGCTGGTCTTCTAAATAGAAAAATATTTGTTTTACTCGCAGGATCGACCACTCAAATCCTAGGACATGTGCTAATTGATCTTAAAAAAAGTTTGGAAAAATAATGAACACTTCGACAGAGTTCATGATAAAAATAACTTGTTTCAAAAATATAAATGGAATTATACAGAAGAATTAAAGTCGAAAGACTAGTAAAAATGTAGAAAGTAACTTGCGCAAGGAAAAAGGTAAATTCTTAATGAAAAAACTTATTGAATTGCATTGAAATGTAAAAATGGTGTTACATCAACGTACATTCTCACGAACTCGTTTCTCTACACGCGGGTACTTTGAGTATATTGAGGAATTTGTACAAAATTGAACAGACACAAATGTAAGACCACAGATTGTTTCTTAGTAATATCTCTATGTTTTGATGATAACACTTATGAATTTTGTATTCAAGAATTATATACTCTAAATTTGTTCTAGACTGTTTGCTACAGGTACTAAAGAAAATATTCTTAAAGAGCAAATTTGGATCTGGACAATGATATTATGAAAGGCTTCAAAAGTTCAAGAGCATCTTAAATGAAGATCTGAACGCTGTCTTCAGAAGAATCTGAATGCTGTCTACTGAAGATTCTGAAGCAGAAGCCTCTAAAGAATAGAAGACTCTGAGAGTTCAGAAGCTTAGTCATCAGAAGACTCTGAAGATACTGCGCTGCATAGTATTGAGAATCTGATATAGAAGACTCTGCTCTGACAGAACTACACGCTCAAGCACACAAGCTGCATATACTCTGATTCAGCATAATCTGAAGAACATCCCAAGACTCTAAAGATCCAGAAGATCTCTACTCTGGAGATTTTGAAAAATCAGACTCTGATGTTGATAGCTGAACTTACTTAGTGAAGAAGATTTGATTATGTCCGTTGGCATATCTCAACAGCTCTTTCCTCTTTTATGTTAGACACAAGAACACAGACAAAAAGGTTGTATCTGTGCATTCCATTCTAAGGAAAGTTTCTGCAAAGTGAAGACAAAAGGCTTCAGGCTTTTTCAGCACAACCTCCAACGTAAAGACAAAAGGCTCCAGGCTTTTTCAGCACAACCTCCAATGTTGAGAAGACTTCACGGATCTAAGTGCCTATATAAAGAAGTCCACTCCATCTTCTTCAGTAATGAACCACTTGCAAAAATCACTCATTAAAGCAAATCTCTCAAAAGCTCTTATATTCTATTTTCTGTAACATTGTTCTTAAACTTAAGAGAAATATCACAGTTGTGATAATAGCTTTTTAGAAGCATTCTTACTCTTGTAATAGTTTTACATTGATTGTAAAAGGTTTCCTTAAGAGGATCCAGTTGGGATCAGTAGCTCTTGAGAAGACTAAGAACAGTTGTTCTTAGGTGTTACTATTGTAATCTGTTTGATTAAATAGTGGATTAAGTCCTTGATTGAGAAAGGCAAATCACTCTTGAGAGGGTGGACTGGAGTAGTTGAGTTCAACGAAGCAGGATAAAAATAACTGTGTTTGAATCTTTGATTATTTGTCATACTTATTCAACCCCTCCTTCTAAGTATTTTCTCACCTTCAACAAATTCTAACACTAAGACTTACTATTTATACTAATCGAAAATAACTACTATCAACGGCTAGTAAACTAAATCGAGACAACTGGCGTTCTGGATGTCTTTGACTCTTGGAAGCGCTTCACGTGTCTTCTTTGAGAAATGGATAAGAACGAACATTCTCTCCTTTATTTGAAATTCAAATCTTGTTGTTGAAATATTTTCAGCAATACCTCTGTCGAACCACATTTCCCAATTATTAGAAAATATTTCTAAGTCTATAAAATAGTTCTGTCTTGCAAAGGGACGTCTTCGACTCACACTCCAAAAAATATAGTTTTGGTCGAAGTCATCTGATTTCTTCAAAAACTATATTACTTCTTTTTAATCCAATTCAGGCGTCGAAATTTAGAGCCAACACCTTATGAATTTGATAAATCTATACGACATGACTTATACTTTAGCAGTGCGAATTGCATACCTTTCATGTCATGGATAATTATAAATGTATTATTACTACCTATTGGATCATGACTTTTTGTTTTTGTATGACTTTTAGTTGTTTCATGACTTGTTATTTCAAGACTTGTTGTCATTGTATTATTATTATTTATTCATAACTTATAATCTCAACATTAACTTAACAACATTTTGACACAACATAACATGAGATAAACTTAAAATAAACTTAACAACATCTAGACATAACATAATATAGCATCAACTTAACATTTAGATATAACATATAAATCTAAAATAACATATCATCATCACGAGTTATTTTAGATATTTTAGCATTTTTAAAGTATTATTTATTGATTTTGCAAGTGTCATTCCACCTCTTTATTGGACCCTTAATTTCATAACGGTGAATATATTCCACATTAACTCTTATATAATCCTCTGTCTTAAACTCAAATTTTAAGAAACCTTATGTTCCCCTCAAAATCAATCACCCTTTCATTTTCATTGTGGTGTAAGAGATTTTCAAGTTTGAATTTCTTATCCATTAAAATAGTATTCTTAATAATTCTAAATTCAAATGAAAAACTCACACCATTAAAATAAAGAAATTCAATATAAAAGTATTGATTCATTCTTTTAATGAATTTCAATCATTACAAGAAACATATCTATATAAGTTTCAAATCATTGTCGAAAACTACATTTATCTTAAATGTTTCGCTTTATACAGACAATTTTACCGAATATTTCCTTAAACTACTGTTTTTTTTATTGATCCTTAGCGAGTAATTTTTTTTGAAAAACATGAATGATAAATTATAAGGTCACAATAAACATTTTTAAAGTATATAGGGGTACCCAGTATAACTATGGGGTGCAGGTAAAATGCTTCTTACTAAACAACACAAAATTGGGCTCAACAATCACATGTCTTAGTAAAAAAAAAATACAGCTTAATTTCCACCTCTCTTAATACAGAGAATTTTCAAATTATTAGAGAAATTTAAAATGTGAAACACTAAAAGAAGTTTTTTTTAATTATTTCAAAATGGATTATTATTATTGACAATAATGAGTAAATTAGCTTTAATGAATTTATAATTCATAAAGTAATTTTAATATATTATTGATGTTACACATAGAATTATTTTAAGTTATACATCATTTCACCAACATTTCCAGTTAATACAGAAATTAATTCAACATTTTTTTTTAAATTTTAATGAAAATGATTTGGTATACTAACACTAGTTACATCGTATAATTTGAGTAATTTCCATTTGAGGCAAGAGAAAGAACAATAACTGTAGTATATTCTCGTATGACAACATTTATATCCAACAAAGAAGTTCATTTATCCTTTTCAGCAATCAATTAGTAAATTTTAGGATGTAAAGCAAATGCATTTAATTTTTATTACACAAATGAAGCATAGACATTTCTCATTCAATAATAGTTGCAATTTGCAAGTACAAGAAGAATATACTTAACAACATTGTAAAGGTGCTCTTTCAAATAGAAGTACCTTCTTCCTTTTTCACCCTTAGTTAAAAACTAGGTACCCTTACAAACTTGACATATATTAAGGAAACATGTCAAATACTTAAGATTTGTTACAGATACATCTCATATACTTAGATATTCTACTGAATGTTAAAAACTAGATACATTATTAATATTTAATATTGTTGATGTTCGACACTTACACATATTATATACTATATATGCTACAGAACTTGTGTCATATTCTTAAATATGCTACAGACCCATGATAACGTAATAAATACACTTTTAATATAAAGTGTTCATATATGTTGAACGTGTCATTTATTTAGATAAGCTACGGACACATAATATCGAATATTAGACACATTTTTAATATAAGTGTCGGTGCTATATAAATTGACATATCTAAACTATTCAACTATGGCTTAGTTTTTTCTCATGCAAAATGCATTTAAAGAGGGTTGGTTAGTAGAGGAACTGTCTTCCAGTGTAGGTTTGTCCAAAGGACCAACTAGGTGGGGCAACATTAAATGACACAATACTATGACCATTACCAGTAGTGACTAAAAATGAAAGACTTTGTCCATTCAAGTAAGAGTTGCTCTGCCAATTTTGTCCCCAATTCCTTGACATGGCTTGCCATCTTGTCCTTGAACCTTTGATGGATAAAGAATGCACATCACCAGCACCACCAACATTAGTCACCAGAACTAAGTTGAAGTAAGAATGACCATTAATTGTGAACCTTATTCCTCCTCTTCTTCTACAACTTACCCTTCAATCAAAAATCATTTATGAAGAAAAAAATGTTAGCTTCAAGACCAAACATATAGTAAAATATTGGGAAATTATATTTGGACACGATCCAGTGTCCTTTGTTTTTTGAGTATATATATATATATATATATATATATATATATATATATATATATATATATATATATATATATATATATATATATATATATATATATATATATATATATATAAATAAATAAATAAATATATATATATATATATATATATATATATATATATATATATATATATATATATATATATATATATATATATATATATATATATATATATATAATTTTAACTTTAGATTTATAAAGTGCAAACACCGATCATTGACACGATATTAAATTAATGTTTCGACATCAATAATAATCACAAAAATAGAATGATTAAATATAATTATATGTATTGGTGTCGTGAGAGTGTCTAACTAGTGCCATGTCTGACTAATATTTGTGTCAGACACACCTTCAATCTAAAATGTCGATGCAAAGCCAGCGACTTTCATATTTCAAGGAAGTAACTTGATTGATTTGTCAGGACTCACCCTCCGCATCATATATTATTAAGGATAAATTAAAATTTTGAGACCATTTTCTTCTATAAACAACCGCAATAATATCAGCTCTAACATAATCACACGTATTTGTGATCTGAAAAGAGTAATAATTAAATATAATCACATGTGTTGATGTCGTGTCAGTGTCTAACACGTGTTGTGTGTAATTAATATTTGTGTCAGTCAAATTTTCAACATAATTATATGTGTTGGTGTTATGTCAGTGTTTAACATATATCGTGTCTGATTAATATTTCTTTCAGACAAACTTTCAATCTAAAACGTCAGTGCTATAAAGCTAGTGACCTCCAGATCACAAGGGAGAAACTTCACTTATGCGTCAAGACTCACCTCCACCTCACATATTCTTAAGGATAAAGCAAAATTTTGAGTCAATATATTAAATTACCTTCTATAAACAACAGGAACAATACCAGCTCTATACTGAGCAATGTGTTGGAAAACAGGTTGAGAGAGATCAAAATGATGATTAGGAGGGTCACACCAACCACCAGGTGGACAGAAATTAGTGGCAGTAACAACAATGGAGCCATGGAGACACCATTTTGGGTCATTAGCACATTTAATTTGATAGCATGCACCACAACTCAAACCATTGTTGAATAATGCAGTGCTAAGTGCTGCTGTATTAGTCCCATAACCTTGACTATACAAGTTTCCATATCCACATGCCCCACCTGAAATTCGAGATTTTTGTTACATTCCCATTAAATTATAGAACTTAAAGTTCATAACTTTATTAAACAATGTTTTAAAAACTATACCGAACTATCTGGTCGATGCTTAAACTGATTTTTACATACCCATTGTGCCAGAAGCATCACTGCCACCATAGAAGGTTGCGTGTGCATTAGTCCAACCCCAATTGTTGCGATAACGATAACTGGAGACATAAGAGATCATGCAGAGAATAATTCCAAGAACTAGAAATCCTTGATGAGACATTTTTCCTGCATAAATGCATGAGGAGAGTATTTTTCAGACAAAAATTCAGCAATGTATAGTAAATTATGCAGTTATTATCATAAAGAAAGAAAAAGGAAGAGAGTTAATTACAAGGAGGTGAAGATTGAAATGAGTTTTTGCAGTTTTGGGGAGTGATGGAGTTGGAATAAATAGAGAGGTCAGTCAACATCAGAGCTGACAGAATTGGGACCATGCTAAGGCAGGAAAATGTCAGGCAATAACAGGCCTTGGGAGTATGATTTATGGAAAATGTGATTTTCAATATGGATAAAAAAATTTACTACTATTTTACTTTATTGTGAGGTTTGAGATGTAGTAGTACTTACATATAGTTAAAATTGCTTCCTCAGAACTTTTGTCATTCAGTAACTTTGAATTCTTCTAACGGATTCTCACAATAATAATCATGGTCTCTATGATAGAGATATAGGACAAAAATGAGTGGTGGTATTAAAAGAATATCTTTGTGAATGTTTCATGACAGTAAAATTGGAGTAATATATGGTGATTAAATATGGTAGTTATTTATTGGATGACATCATCAAGGTTAGTATTAGAAAAATAATTTAATTGTCATATTCAGTATATTAACATTATAGATTCATATAGAAGGAGTCTAGAGTTTTATTAGGAATGATAAAGTACCACATTACAAAGTATCACAATAGAGATCTATAAATACAAAATATCAAAAGATTAAATTATTCTTATAATATATTATTCAATATTATTTTTTAAATTCAATGCATTAATACGAAGTATTGAGAGTTTTTTAATAAAAAATAAAAAAATTTAATGGAACGTGTTTACATAAACAAGTCATCAATGTACAAAGACCAAAAATTAAATGGTAAAGTAAAAGTTCTATATTGAAGATGACGACAAGTGAGGTGACAATCGATCTCAATATATTTAGTGAATTCATAATAAGCGATTTGAATGACACTCTTATTATCACAATACATAGGTGTGCATGTGTGTGTGCGCGCGCGTGTGTGTGTGTGAGAGAGAGAGAGAGATATATGATGTAATTCTGTTAATAACATGGACAACTATATGAGTTGCTTCACCCAAAACTCAATTGAAACTGAAGTAGACAACTAAAGAGAACAAGCAGTTTCAATAATACGATGATGCTTTCTTTTATCAACGCCATTTTGTTGAGAAGTATTAATACATGAAGTCTGGTGAATAGTATTTTCATAAGAAAAAAAAAATTAAGATAATTTATTAGAAGTATACTCACAACCTAGATCACATTAAAAACACGTTATAACAATGTTATGTTGAGTTTTAGCCACTGCACGAAACATATGATAAATGCCATAAAATTATGAACACTTTTTCAAAAGATAAACCAAATAATAATGACAATGATAATAAATAAAAGAGACATGATATCATGATCCACCTTTCCTAAGAATCGATGATGGACCCCATACATCAGGATGAACTAAATATAAGGTGCATTAAATGTTGAACATGTAACTCCATACACAAGAGGCGTGAATTGTAGAGGTTTGAAAAACTTTGATTTTAAATAAAATTATTTGAAAAATATGAGCTTGAAAACATTTAGAAAAAAATGAGTAAATAAGAAGTGAAAAACCAAAGGAAATACAGTAAAGTAAAAAGATAAGGATACAGAGATACACCGATAATTTATACATGTTCGACCTTAATTGACCTACTCTTGTCCCCAATAAATATTTTTTAGAGTATCCAATAAATTTGAGAGTTTTCAACCAAACAAACAAGATAGAGGTTTTAAGGACAACTTCCAACCACTGGTTGATATCGAACCAAGATAGGGTTTTAAGCTAGATATCCTCCAAACCGAATCAAGTTGGAATTTTATATTGGTAACCTTGAATTGACAGAGCTTTTACTAGGTTGAACTCAAGAGCTAGGTGGTATTTTAGCCGTGCTGATATTGATTCGATATAACTTTCAATTGGGCTAAGCTCAATAAATGTTATGTATATTTTAATTGTTGATATTCACGAACCAAAAGAGCGTTTTTTCTTCTTGAAAAGACTCACGAACCAAAAAGAGAATTCCTAGGAAAATCCTTCAAATAAAGCAAGAGATGTTAATTATTTTAACTTGCTACCAAATAATAACTTCTTACGGAAGAAATATTTACTTAAGAGATAACACACTCTTGGTAAGTTTATAACTAAGTCGTCACCTAGAATAAATATCTTCACTTACACTCAAGAATACTCTCAAAGCACTATGGCTAAATATATGTGAGAAAACAAGAGATTTAGAAGAAAAAAATGATGAGAGAAATAAAAGTGGATCAAATATTGTTTTGTAGATGTTAAAATAAGATAGAGAAGCTATCTATTTATAGGATAAGGCGTGATATAAATTTGAAAATAATTCATGACTCAAATCAATGCCATAAATGATTAGGTTAATTGGTTATTGACTTCTAATAATGGATTATTCAAGTCACAAGTGGAGCGTTTTGATATTTAGTCGTTACTAATCATTCACTGACCGTTTCAATAGATTTTAGACTTAACTATAAAAAATTGATTAGGTCATTAGGTCTAATCAATTATTTAGTTAAAAAGTATTCCAATGAATCATACACTCCCCTAATCAACTAGCTAGGCCATACAAACATTTCTGGTGGTTTAAATAAAATAATAGAGGCTTCTAAAATGTTTTTATTGTATATGTGATTTTCCATAGTATTTCCAGAAATACCCTTGTGTATTTACAAGTCATTGGCCGCTCAGACGAATAGAAATAGACGAGTTTTCACACTTTCTCTCTTTCATAACTGTGAAGATTCAAACTTGAAATCATTATCTTTAAATTTAACATTACACAAGAGCCTTGAATCTACTTTACGAGGCTTGAGATATCTTCATGTTGATTACCATCATTGAGAGTTGAGAGGTTAAACCATCAGTGACCCTTGAAACAAAAGTATTCACTTGAATGTCGTTCGACCAAATTGTTGACTTGATCTTCATTAATATCTTTAGAATTTATTCAAGAGTATAACTTAATCAAACATCTTGTGCATCTTCGACCACTTAAGCTATCTTCAACAGATACTGACTTCTTTAAAGAATGTTTGATATTAAATTTTGTCATCATTAGAACTAAACATATACTCATTTGACTTGTAGCTTTTTCTATCCATAGAGTTCACCACCTTGGATCATCTTGACTATATCTGAAAGAACATAGATCCAAATTCTCCCTTTTTTTTATGATGACAATGTCTCTCAAGAAGGTGGTAAAATAAAAGAAGGATAAGTTTTGGAGTGGTTAAACTTCCCCCACACAAGGAGAGAGTATATTTCTCCCCTTTAGAAAAATAAAAAAAGGAGGTAAAAATATGCTAGAAAGTAATGTAAGTACATAATTCACGTAGATCAAGAATACTTATTAAAGAAGGAAAACATATTACATTCTTAAAAGATAATTTGAAGTACAGAAAATGAGAAAGTGCAAAAATCTAAAACACACTTAATAGCTAAAATTTAAACACATAAGTGAGGCTACTATTCAGTATCCTCATCATCGCCAGTAAACAAACATGGATCTAGATGACTTAAGTCTTGGGGAAATTGATGGGCCAATAAGTTGATATTTTTATCAATATCCTTTAGTCTCTTGATGATGCCCTTGACTAGGTTTTCAATCGAGGGTGTTTTAGGCATATTATATTCAAAATATTCTAGACTCGCATGAGCTTTTTATTGAGGATATTTATGTTATTACATAAACATTTTCTATCCTTTGGGAGTTTTTTTTGAAATATCTCCCATCAACAATTTTGTACCGCATTAACCCTACTTCCGCCTCTTCAATTCTTGTTACATTTTTCACGAATACTTATCCTTCAAAGTCATGCCCAGTGTGTTCAAAGTCACCATATGGTAGGCGTATTCCTTTCCTTTTCCCCCCAACATGTGTTGGATCAATCCACTTGCCTAATTTGTCTCAAGTGACGGAAGTTGATCTTTCCTAAAAAGAGTAAAGGATTTGCAACATAATAAGTTAGACGAATATTCTGAAGGACAAAGCCTACAGTGAATGGAGAAGGTCAACTATGAAAGGTAATTTAAGAAGGGGTGAATTAGATTTCATGGATTTTGCTTGTTTTTATGCAAAGTTTCTTAACTTTTAATTTTACCGAAAACAAGTGATTGATTGCTACTTTTAGATTATTATAATGTGCATAATTTTAAAACAATAAAGATAAATAACACACAAGAATTATACTAGTTTCCCTTATCAACCAAGGGTGCATCTTGTCCCTCTACTTCTTAGAGGATTTTCTACTATATTTTTTTTATCTGTGCACTAGTCTTCACCAAGACCTCTTTACAATCTTATAAAACATAAACAAGTAAACACCAAACCCTATAGTGGACTTTGAATCTCCCCAACTTAAAGAATCTTTTTCACAATCACCAAACACTATGACAATCCTCGCAAAAACTAGAAAGTGCACCACTTTCTATTTACAAACACCTTTCACCAATACACTATGAAAGAATACAAACACTTAAGCTTTGTTGAGAGATGAAGAACGTTGGTGGCTAATGAGTGTTAAATACAATCCTGGGATTATATACTTTATTTTCTCAATATTACAATTAAAATTATATCATTTAACTTCCCACGGTCTATTTTGGTTTATGAGAATATTTCTGGTTTATGAAATTTACATAATTTTAAACCATTTGAAAAACAATGTTTCTTGAAAATGATCTTTGAATTATGTAAATGGTTATGTAAAAGTTGTTAACTTGATTTCTATTTTAAACCATCATTTATACACACCTAAAAACTTCTATGAATGTCTGCATAATTTAGAAATAGTTCCATAAAGCTTTGCAATGATTTACATACATTTTATATTGGGAAAAGTGCATTGGTTCAGGTGGTATTCAAACACCACATTCTAGTAGCCAAATACCACTTTGCAACGTTCCAATTTTTCA